TAGTTGCAATGTGTTTTCGGTTTGTTTTTTGTTTTGTTTTGTTTGTTTGTTAGTGATGAAATCAGGAAAAAACAAAACAAAATTTAAATAATAAAATTGATTAGACATGATGATCGAATAGAAAAAAAAACAATTGAAATGAAATGAAATGCTACTTACCAAATTCCTGGTTCCAGTTTATCATTAATAATCTGTAGCTCATCGAATCGATGTCCTATGATGATTGTTTTGTTTTGTTTTACACAGAGTATCCAAATTGAATCAAAAAAGGAAATGTAAAAAAAATGAAGAAAATTTAAAACAATAAGATTTTCAATTCAAAAAAAAAACTTTTGTCATTTCAATTCATCCATTACAAATTCACATCATTTTTTTAAAAAAGGAAAAATTCAAATAACTTCTGGTCCAACAAGAATTATTAATTCATTTTCAATTTAGCAGTTTTATCGTTATCTCTTATTTCTTATTATTATCATTATAAAATAACAAACAAAGCTATTATCCACCTTTATTATTTCATCAAATATGGTAGATACTAGGTTCATAAAGAAATGATTTTTACAAAACATTTCTTTTCTGAATAATAATAATAATAATGACAGCGATCATTATAATCGTTCTGAACGATTAACCGGTCTGAAGACGACAACAACCAAGACGATCATAACAACAACAACAAAATAAATGATAATGACAAAGCAATGAATAAATTTCAACTTATGAATGACATAAGAGACCTATTATAATTTAGTTTTGAAAAAACAGGCAAACAATCAAGTTATACTATCATATATGATAATAATAATAATAAGAAATTCTGAAAAGAATTAACGAAAGAAGCGACTATAACAACAACAACAACAGATGGAAAATGGAGAAAATTCTGTTGGTTGAAGAAGAAGAAGAAAAAGAAAAAGAATAAAGAAGGGTTCGATGTACGAAGGAAATCCATTATCATCATCATCATCATTGTTGTTGTTGTTTGACCTTCTTCTTTCCAGGGAAAAAAATCATCATTATCATCAAGATTACGTAATCACATTGATGATCGCTATTGTTTAATGATCATCATCATCGAAATGGAAAAAAATGACAAAAAGAAAAACTTATTTTTCTACTTTGAAATTCACTTTTTAATTTTGGATTTTCTGTTTCTGTTTCTATTTTGTTTTGCATTATTCAATATTCACATATAAAAAATCATTTAAATTCAATGATGATGATTATGATGATGATGAGCAAACCATGATTCGAATGTAATTTTTCATTCATTGATGGAAAAAAAAGAAATTTCCCCCGAAATTATGTTTTGTAAGGATTGGAAAAAAAATCCTAAAATACTTCCGATGACGTTGATCATTAAATGTGAAAAAAAGGGAAAAAAATTTTAAGAATTTTCTTTAAAATCATTCAATCTGACTATGGCTATGTTTGCATTGGATGGACAACAAAGTTTCAAATAAAAAAACAAAAGCAAAACTTACCATCAATAATCATTTGATTGATAATAGTAACCATATTGGATAATTTTAATTGTACTAATTCCAATTCATTTTTTATTTCTTGTTGTTGATTAGTTGTTGTTGTTGATGATAATAAATTATTATCCATTGTTGATTCGGTGGTAATATCGGTGTTTGTTGTTGTCGTTGTCGTTGTTTCGCCGGTAATCGATGTTATCAAATCATTTTGTTGTTGTTGTTGTTGTTTACGAATCGATAAATAATTAATCATATCATCCAATGTTTTCATATCATTATTACGATAAAATTTACGAAATTCTTTACGTAAATCAAAAAATTTATAAAAATATTCTGATAATTTTATTGATTTTTTTAATGATTCTGGATGTAATACTTGTCGTAAATGTAATTGTCCATCCGTAATCAAATGTATACCATTATAATTATAATTTTGTTTATAAAATTTGTTTATTTGTTGTTGTTGTTGTTGATCATTAAAATGATGATTTATATTATTAATTATAATCTCTTTATTTGGATAATCCGGTTGATTATTATTATTATTCATTATTTGATCATCATCATCATCATCAACGTTATTATTTAAAGGTGATAATGATGATGATGTGGTTGTCGATGAACATGATGTATCTGATGTTGAATCAGTTGAATTTATTAAATTTTCAAAATAATTTTCAATTTTATCTAAATTATTTTGACATTTTGTTGTTGTCAAAGTTGCTGATTGTTGTTGCTGTTGTTCACCAATCAAATGAGTATTTATATAATGATCCATTTGTTGGATAACATTTTCTAATGTTTGAGCATATTTAATTTTTTCTTCAGTTATTCCATATGAATCACGTGCAATTTCCGACAGAATATTATCATTAATATCTTTATTTTTAGGTCGTACATATTCAAAACGTTTTTCAAGTACCTAGAAATATTTAAAATTTACATGGAAAAACAAACAAAACAAATTATAATTATTTTTTGGTCTCAATTTGTTTTTCTCGTTGCAAATTGAATATATATCGAACTGAGTCAATCTATGGTTAAATAAATGATTTGTTCCAAATTTTCTGACCTCGAATTTTGATGGCGAAACTTTGTTTAAAACAATTTTAAACTGAAATTGATCCCCGAAAAACAACATCATAATTAAAACTATTTCCGTTGACAAAAAACCAAAAACAAATTTCATTTTGATGTTTTTGTTTCAATCGATTTTGTTGTTGTTGTTTCTAACCTATTTCGATCGTTTAGTCTATAATTATTTCTTTTTTTCGGTTAAAATAGCTTTTTTTTTGTTTTGTTATTTTCTAAGGCTCATTATGTAATAATGATTTCGATTCAAATTCAAAAAAAACCAGGTAAAAAACAACAAACCTTTAACATTATAACATCGATTACAATCCATGCAAATAAAACAATTTCTTCTTCATCACTACCAAGATCATCATCTTGTTGTCCGGCTGTAACAACATGTACAATAATTAAATATCGACAATTATTATTATTGACATTTGATGTTTGATTATTATTATTATTTAAATGATGATCAACCATTTTTGTTGCTAGTTGTTTGTTGTTGTAGTTTTTCTTGAAAACCAATGTTGAACAAAAAAAAACAAATGTCGAAATGCCAATAACCAGGTATAAGTCAGGATTTATTGAATGAAGAAGAATTTTTGTTTAGGAACTTTATTTGAAAATTGATGATTTGTAAATTATCACACACACATCACATCCACTTGTTATTCTGTGGATTTGATAAAGATTTTCAATTGATAAAATGTTTTTCTAATCGATGATTTTCATTTTGTTTTTTTTTCGTTGTTACATTCATCATTTCATAATCAACAACAGCCGAAACACGATGTTTTTTCTTTTTGGGATTTTCTTCTGCAACAAAATAAGCAAAACAAATGATGTATTTTTTCTTTCTCTTTGGCGATTTACTCAAATTTTCTTTAAAATTAGAAGAAAAAAAATACGAGAGAAATTACAACAACAAGAAAAAAACTCTCGCTTGATTTTCTCCAAAACGACAACAACAACAAATTCGACGACTACCACCACCAACAATATTAGCCACCAACATTATCATCATAATCACGACAACAACAACAACAACGAAAAAATGAATAGATTTTTATTCAGGTAACAAAAGTATCTCTAGGCATTCTCATTTCATTCATATTAAATGACTACATTGATGCATCTTTCAAACATTTGATGATGATGATGGTGGTGGCCATACCTGTTTTCATCCTCATCCTCATCATCATCATCATTGTCGTCGTCGTCGTAGCCATCATCATTATAATTATCAACATTGGACAACACACAGGTTTTTCTACTACCTTTTTTGGCTTTTATTTCGCTATTTCTCCACCCCCATTTTTCATTTCTTCAACAACGAAACATCTCATAGCAGAAGAAGCAGAATGAAAAAAAATATTCAAAGTTGTTTATGAAGTTTGTCTTTTTCAACTTTTTTGAATCACGGATCCTATCAAGAAAAACCAAAACTTCCATAATTGATGATGATGATGATGATGATTATCACGATGATGATGATAATGTTGAATGCACCATACACATCACACAAACAGATTCACATCTATACAGACAAGGTAGAGGTGGTAGGTTGTTTAGGTTGGTCAGTTGGTTGATTGGTGGTGGTGGTGGTGGTGGTCAGGACAATCTTTCTCATCAATTTTGATTCAGGTTTTGCCAATGGTGTTTGTTGATGGTCAATTTAATTCCAGACAGAGAAAGAAAATCTAAATTCAATTGGATTCAGAGTCTCTTTCTCTCTATCTATCTAGCTAAGTGATTTGATAACATTCTTTCCAGCAAATGTTTTTCCTATTTCTTCTCCCCCCACTTAATCATCTAGCGATGAATATCCGGTTATATAATCAGGTTTTTTCTCCACATAGATTTTCTCTGAATCCAACATATGTACGGAACATATTTTTTTTCAATTTTTTGAATTTTCAAATGAAAATGAAAAATTGGATGAAAAAAATCAAAACGAATTGTTTTTCATTCAAGGAGCAGGGGAAAACGAAAAATTCGGAATTTTTTTTATGCTGAAAAACAAGATATTTTTTCAGCAAAAAACCGATTGAAATTAAATTGATGATGAGGTTGAGGTTGATCATAAACCTGATTGCCAATCATCATCATCATCAATGAAATCTTCGACAATAATCATCATCGATCGATGAATCGATCGATCGATCGATCAGGTTCTTGATATATAGAGAGAGAAAGAAACACAGAAATACAATCAAATACAATCAAATCGATGAAATCAAATTGAAAAAAATTTATTTTTTGAATTCGATCATCCTTCAAGCCCGTCATCATGATGATGATGATGATGAATACCTTTAGACATGTTTTCAGATAATATTATAGGAAGATAGTGTGTGTGTGAGAGAGAGAGAGAGAGAGAGAGAGGAAAGTAAATGGCAACGATTATTATAATGATGATGATGATCATCATCATTTTGATTAACACTATTCACCATCCGCAAATCATTGAAGCAAACCAAAAAAATTCAAGAATTTTCTTTTTCTACTAATACAATACCAGCAGCAGACAACAAAGATCTTTCAAGATTTAACAAAGTTCAAGTTCATTGCATTCTCCTTTATTCATTCAGATATTTTTTTTCTTGCAAAATATCCATGATATTAACCATCAACCAACCAACCAACCTGTAGGTTGAGTTTTTTTTCTTCGTCGGCGCTCTCACTGATTTCGAATGATTCTCATTGTTTTGATGATAATGGATGTGTGTGTGTGTGAATACAAAAATGTGAATTTTCATTTTTCGTTTCGTTTCGTTTCTTAGGTTCGGTTTGTTTTCTATTGAAAACAAAAAAAAAGATCCTGATTGTTTAGACAATTTTTTTTTTGTTGTTCTGGATATTTTTCTTCTTCGTAAAGAATCATTAAATGTGATGAATAAAACACAAGTGGAAAAACAAGTTTTGTTCACTTTGTTTTCTTCTTTACATAATGTGATAAAACTCAATTCAATCGTATCGACTTTTCGGACAGAATAATGATGATGATGATGACGGACAGAAAAACTTTTACCATGATTTTTTGCCTATCGATGCATTCACACACACACAAACACAGGCAAAACATTGACGATAATCATTCAAAACAAGACCTGACTTACTTACTGATTCAGAGATGGACAGATGGTAAGATACACCTGATGATGATGATGATAACGAATACAGTGTATATAGTCGAATGATTAGAAACATTCGAATTCGAATTCGAATGTTTTCTTTCTCTCTCTCTCTCTCTCTTGCTTTCTTTTTATTATTATTATTCAATTCTGATCACGGAATGTAATGATGATTATATAGTTGGAATTTGTTGTTTTTTTTTGTTTATTACAAAATTTTGAAATAAGAAAAAATGATGGATAAGATTCATTTCTTTTCAATCAGATTCTAATTTAAAGAAGAAGAAGAAGAATGAATGAAAAAAAAACAAGGTAAGACATGTTTTTTTCAGTTAATTTTATTATTATTATAAGTTTGAATACGATGATGATGATACACAAAATACTTTTATTGTTGTCATTGTTGTTGTTGTTGTTGTTAATCATTTTCAAATTTACCTGTCTGCTACCTGTACGATGAATGAATGAATGATGATTATCTTCTATTTTTTTTTTGTTTCTTCTTTGAATTGAAAGAAAACAACAACAACAACAAAGATTCTCTTGGTTTGTTCGTTTATGAAAGAAATATACCAAAAAATGATAGTTTTTTTAGTTCATTGTTGTTGTCAATGATGAATGATGTTTTGTTTTATTAGAATAATATTCCGGTAACAAACAAGAGAATCCAATTAATCAATCAATCAAAATCGATTGATTGATGAAATTCGATCGAAACTAATGACAACTAAACAATGACAAAAAACAAACCAAAAAAGAAAAAATCAATCGTTAATCGATAATGAAAAATATATATCATTATAATTTTGTTCTTTTATTTTTTTCATTTTTTTTAACATTTCAAGGCTCAAATATTATTATTATAATTATAATTAACTATGTTTGAATATTTATAAGAACAACAGCAATATGTAATTGTTTTTTTTCTCTTTCTCACTGGCCATATTTCTCGGATATTGGAACAAACGAACCAAAACGACGACGATAAACAAATCAATTAAAGAGAGAGAGAGAGAGAAAGACAGAAAAGAGATTTAAGACAAAATAAACGACATTGAACAACAACAACAAAATGATGAAGAAAATTATTTAATTGAATATTAAGAGAAAATGAAAATGTCAATTTTTTTTTGGTTTCGAAGGAAATTTTAAAAATTTTTTTCTTTCACCGTTAATTAATGATCAACATTGAATTGAGTGCCATCTTTTGCCAGACAAACCGATTATGTAATTGATTGTCCATCAATGATATCATCTGTTTTTCGTTGTTGTCAGAATTTGAAAAAAAAGAAAAAAGCTAGAAAGAATGGCTGAAATGATCGAAAAAATTGATAATCTAAAATTGATTGTATTCGATTTGGGTAAGTTGAAAATTCTTTTCTTTTATTTTTGATTCGATTAATTTATATAATTTTGAATTAAAGATTATACATTATGGCCATTCTGGGTTGATACACATGTTACACCACCATTTCGTCGAAAGTAAGTTTGTTTGAAACAGAATAATATTATTAATCTTGTTTTTGAATATGATTCATTCCCGAAAAAATAATAAGTGGACAAAATGTTTATGATGCTCATGGAATATTAGTAAAATATTATCCCGAAGTACCGGCAATATTGGAACGATTAAAATCATTAGGCTATCGAATTGGTATTGCATCAAGAACCAGTTGTATTGATGAAGCAAATGATTTATTACGATTATTTAAATGGGATCAATGGATTGATTATAAACAAATTTATCCTGGTTGTAAAATAACACATATAACCAAATTATCTAAACAATCTGACACTGAATTTAATCAGATTTTATTTTTCGATGATGAACAACGAAATATTATCGATTTAAAACGTATAAATGTTTGCAGTATTCTTGTTGATAATGGAATGACATTTAAATTATTGAAAAATGGTATCGATAAATTTAAATGAAAATGATTTCCAAAATCTAATATATTTGATTAATAATCTAATTTATTGATCACAACTGTACTGTAACTTTTTACGAATTCATATTCATATGATTTATGTCGTTTTTAGTTGATTGCAAATTTAATTTTTTTGTATTTTTATCCCTTTATAAAGTTATGAAAATTTTTTTTGAATAAATTAAAAAATTCAGACAAAAATAATGATAATTTCAATAATATCACCTGATATGATGAGAAAATGTTTCTTTTTTTTTCTTTTGACATTTGATTTGATCAATTTTTTCTGTTTCTCTTTTCATCATTCATATCTCATTATTGAAGATTCCAAATCGATTAGATTCATTCATACATTCATTTTTTTTCTAAGAAATCTTTAAGAAAATCGATTGCTTTTTTTTCCCATTAAAAAATTTCTTCTTATCTAAATTGAATTTATTTTTTGTTCAGTCAAGAATATTTTCATTCATTCATTCGAATTATATCTTCGTGACTATGAACTTATTTAACCAGAAATCATGATTAGATATGCATAGACAACAACAACAACAACAACAACAAAATCAGAATAAAATTCTTATGAATGAAAAAAAAGAACGTCAATGTTTTTTTCCATTTCTAATTTTAACCAGAAAAAATTTTATTTTCATTTTGACAATTTTAGTTTCATAGCAGTTAAAGAGATACAAAAAAAGTGCAAAAAGAATCAAAAGAAGTTGTAAATCAACCATAAGTAAAAATACAAAAACAGTGAAAATGAATTTATTATCAATCATTAAATTTAATAATAATAATAATAATATTTATCATATTTATTTTCAACATTTATTTGAAATTACAAATAATTATAATCAAAAATATCGTCATCATTATCAACGAATTATATTGTTTATGATTATAATGGATTTACGTTTTATTTATCTAATGTTGAATGTGGATAAAAATATTCAATGGCATTTAATTAATTTTAATATTGTTATTGTTGAAAATTTTGATCAATCATTAAACATATGGTTGATGTCATTTTTTGCTGCAATCATTTATTTTGTTTGGATACTTTATTTTCGTAACAATACTAAATCAACTGAATTGATTCGTTTGATTTTTATTGATCAGGATTCAAAATTTTTTCATAATAATATTATTATCCACAATAATGTTGATGATATTGGTAACAGTGTTGATGATGATTATCAATCAAAAATTCCCGAATATATTGTCTATCGTATAAGAAAATTTGCATTTATTTATCAAAAAATTTTCATTGTTTTCTATCAATTAACTTGTAAGTAGTGAATTTTTTTTTTGTAATTTTGTTTCTAATTATCATTTTTCCGTTTGTAATTTAGTTTTATATATATTTGTTTATGAATTAAAATCATTATATCTTCTTTACAAATTTGGCTATTTTGATACAATCAATGGTTTAATTTTAATCATATTTCAATTTTTCCTTTGTATTTGTATGACAATAATTGCTATGAAAAATATACAAATCTGTCAATTGTTTGGTACATTTCAAATTGTAATTACATTATCATTGTTTAATAAATTAAAACAAATTGAACGTATAGCCCGAAATGAAAAATTTTCAACATTAAAATTCCATTCAATCAGACAAATTGATAAACAATTATTACAATTAATCAAAAATACTGATCAAACATATGGTATGATGATGTCCATATTTTTATTGATAAATTATCCAACCAATGCATATCTGATAATGATATTTTTTATAAAAAAAATATCCATTATGAATAAAATAATATTCATAACGATTATTATATATCAATTTTCATTTATATTTTTATTTCATTTGATTGCAACACGTTATGCATATCATATTCATCGACCAGTTAAATATATTATTATTGATTATTTTTCACAATCACCGATTTCGTTATTATTGAATAATCGACTGAAAATATCATTATGGATTGAAAAATTTCATACAAAAAAATTCTATGGTATTACATATGGTGGTATTGAAGTGATAACATTGAAAACATTTTTCAAGGTAAAATAATTGTTGTTATTTTTTTCCCTCCAATATTCATTCAATAAAATAATTTTCTTTTCAAAACAGTTTCTCTTCTTTTATGTCAAATTTATGATGATTTCATATAAATTGATTACTTAATAATAAAAAACTTTATTAACGCACACTGCAAAATGCATTTGTTCATAAATTGATTACTTCGAATCAATAACAAATATCGATGATAATCAACATGATCATTAGACGATGATGACGATTCTTCACATTCTTGGATTCAGGGCAACAACATAAAATGAAACAACAACTTGGTGATTTCGACCGGAAATTTTTCAACTTCAAATGATTCAAAATTTTCAAATCATTTTTGTGTTTTCAACTTTTTTGTTTTTTTTCAACTTTTTTAATTTTCGATTAACGCGTTCGCTACCGGAGATTTCGAAAAACACATAGAACTACAGCAAATAAACGACGCATATATGCGTCGCTGGTAGCGAACGCGTTAAGAATTTAGCACTAAATTTTGTTTTTTTTTGTGATTGAAAAAAGAAATGAACCGGGAAAATGGATTTTTCTGGTTTTATTTCATTGTTTTTTACAGAATTTTTTCCACAACAGAAAAAAATGAACTTGAAAGCAAAAGTATTGATCAGTTTTTTCCAGTGCAAAAAAGTTTATTTTCAATGGTGATAATTTAATTAAGTTGTTTTTTTTCAATCAATAACGAATTAATTTGTAAGCAATCATGGTAAATTTTACATAGAATAAAATGAACTAATTATGAATCGGAAGAAAAATTGATTTTTAAATTTTGTTAGAAAACAAATTTAAACAAGAAATTTTTCAGAATGAAATACATACTCGAACAAATGTAGTCATTGTAATCAGATTCGTTCGACCATATGTTAAACCATAACGTTGTTTTGTATGAAATTTTTCCAGCCAATCAGAAAATTGTAAACGATTACGAAAATTTATTTTACAATTCAAATATGAATATTTATAATAATGATTAATTAAATATTTAGATGGTAAATGTAAATAATGACCAAAACGAATAGCAATATAATGAAATACAAATATATATGACCATTGATTAATTATAGTTGCTTGTTGTAATAATCGTTCAGCAAATGAAATTGTTCTGATTGAAATAATCATTGTTAAATATGCATTAATTGGACCATTGGTCAATATGAACAAAAACATTAAAACACCATATGTACCATCAATACTTTTGGTCAATAAAAGCATCTGTATTGTTCGATTACGTATTTCATTTATAAATTTTTTAGTAATTATTTTTGATTTTTTTAGATTTTGTTTTAAACATTTCTTTTTAATTTGTTCAAATTTTATGAATGAAATCATTGTAATTGAAAGAAAACAAGAACCAAATAAGAATAAAATATCCAATAATATTATGCTGCCAATAAGAACAAAGATTAACTGAACAGATTGTGTTATGACGCTGATAATGCCCGAACAAGTTGAAAAATAACCATTTTTCATAAAAAAATTCATAACTTGTATTTCATAAATTACTGCTAAAATATCTACAAATAATAGAAATAGATATTTAATAATCAAAAATTATTTTTGTTTGTTTGTAAAATATTGATATTCACATGTAACCAAATAAAGCAAATGAAATGATTGATAATAAATATTAAGCCATAAACGAATTTGTCGAACAAATTTTTGTTGATTTAATAATTTTTCATTTATAAAAAATTTTTGATCACCATTGATTAAAACCAGAAAAATTAATTGTGTTACACGATTATTATTACAAAAATAAAGTATATATGCATAATAAACAGATATAAAACCAATTACTGCTATATAAATATTCAGCATATTATCAATTTTAGCCATATTAATCCAATCAAAATTTACTACACGCCATTCAAATGAACGATTATTACCGATAAAATATAGATAACAAAAACGACCAGACCATATAAACAATATAAACATTTTTAAATAAATTCTATGAATTATATTGATATTTTTATCAATATTAATCAATCGAATATAATTACAATATATTTGTAACAATGTTGAAACATTATTTTTTTGAAAATTTAATTTAATCAAAAATCGGATTCGTTGAATTTGATTTTGTAACATTTTTTTTTTGTTTAAATAAAAAATCTGGTTACTTTTTTTTTGGAAAAATAATATCCAGAAGTATTTGCATATGTAAACCACATGCTAAATCGAAATGAAATATGAATATTGTTGGGAAAAGAAATTTGAATAATTTTTTTTTTAAATTTTAAATTTTAAATTGCGTAATTCGTTTAATAATGAATACAAAGAGAAAAAAAATAATATATAAAAATAAATTCTTGGTATTCTTTCTTTTTCACTTTGATATTGTTTTTGTTGTTGTTTTTTTTCAGAATCGATAGTTTTTGAATAATAAATATATATATTTTGCATATATCATTTGTCATTAATGTTCAAAGTTTTTTTTTTATTTTGTGAAATTTTTTAATGACACAAAAACAAAAAAACTTTCCATATTTCTTGACAAAAATATGATTACTAATGGTTTTTTTCGGTTTTTTTTTAATTTTGTTCGCAATATTTTGTTCGGAAAAAAAGAAGAAAAACTAATCAATTGAAATCATGACAACCAATGATGGCTTTTCTCTTTCCCCTGTTTTTTCCCCCAAATTCATTCAATTCTTCTGCATTTTGTCGTTGTTGTTGTTGTTCTATTACATTTCCATTGATTAGATAAAGTGCAAATGACCCGATATAAATAAACCAAACTTATTTATCCATTAATTTGTATGAAATCATCATAAATTTGGCATAGAATAAAATAAACTAGAATTTTTGGAATGAAAAATGGAAAAGAAAATTGAAAAAATTGATAATTTTGAAGAAATTTAATAATTTATACTTGAAAAAATGTGGCCATTGTAATCAGATTAGTACGACCATATGTTAAACCATAACGTTTTTTTGTATGAAATTTTTCCAACCAATCAGAAAATTGTAAACGATTACGAAAATTTATTTTACNAATGAAATACAAATATATATGACCATTGATTAATCATAGCTGCTTGATGTAATAATCGTTCGGCAAATGGAATTGTTCTGATTGAAATAATCATTGTTAAATATGCATTCATTGGACCACTGAATAATATGAACAAAAACATTAAAACACCATATGTACCATCAACACTTTTGGTCAATAAAAGCATCTGTATTGTTCGATTACGTATTTCATTTATAATTTTTTTAGTCATAATTTTTGATTTTTGATTTTGTTTTAAACATTTCTTTTTAATCTGTTCAAATTTTGTGAATGAAATCATTGTAATTGAAAGAAAACATGCACCAACTAAGAATAAAATATCCAATGATATTAGACTTCCAATAAGGACAAAGATTAACTGAACAGATTGTGTTATGATACTGATAATACCCGAACAAGTTGAAAAATATCCAATTTTCATGAAAAAATTCATAACTTGAATTTCATAAATTACTGCTAAAATATCTACAATAATAAGAAAATTATTGATAATTTAAATTTCTGTTTAAAAAAAAATTCTAGATACATTTACATGTTACAAAATAAAGCAAATGAAATGTTTGATAATAAATATTAAGCCATAAACGAATTCGCCTAACAATTTTCTGTCGTTGATAATTATCATCATCAACAATATTTTGTTCATTAATCGATGATAATGATTTTTCTTGTATAAAAAATCCAGCATCACCATTGATTAAAATACGAAAAATTAATTGTGTTGCCCGGGTATTATTACGAAAATAAAGTATGTATGCAAAATAAGCAAGTACAAAACCAAATAATGCTAGATAAAGATTTAACATATTATCAATTTTAGCCATATTAATCCAATCAAAATTCACTACACGCCATTCAAATGAACGATTAATACCGATAAAATATAAATAAAGAAAACGACTGGACCATATAATCAATATGAATATTTTTAAATAAATTCTTCGAATTATATCGATATTTTTATCAATATTAATCAAACGAAGATAATTACAATAATTATTTAACAGTGAAAAAACATTATTTTTTTGAAAAATTTTTTCGGAATTTGATTCAATGAAAAATCGAATTTGATTTTGTAACATTTTTTGTTTGTTTGTTTAAAAAAAAAATCTGATTGATCAAAATGAAAAATATTCAGAACTATTTGATATGTGACCCGTATTGAATCGAAATGAAATATGAATATCGTTAGACCAAAAACAAAACAAAACAATTGGTATTGAAATTGGCAAAAAAAAAATTGTATAATTTTTATTACGTAATTTGATTAATGATAATTAGAAGAAAAAAGTTGTAGCGAAAAAAAGTTAAAAATAAAAAAATAAATTTATGTTTTTTTTTTTTACTTTGAATCGATAGTTTTGAATAACAAATATTGAATATTATCGTCATCAACGTTAGTGTTTTTGTGAAATTTTAAACTTTTCCATATTTCTTGACAACAATGATTATTAATGGTATTTTTTTTTTGTTCGAAAAGAAAAACTAATCAATTGAAATCATGACAACCGATGACTTTTCCTCCTCTCCTGTTTTTCCCAAGAAATTCATTCAAGAATTCTTCATCAAAAAAACTATAAATATTTTTCTATTAAAATTACTACATTCTGGAAGTCATTTTGTAGTTGTTGTTGTTTTATTCAATTTCCATTAATTGTCAATTAGATAATATGCAAATGACCCGATATAATAAACCGAACAAAATGATGTCAACAAACCAAGATCCCATCAATCTTGTTTTTGAATTTTATTCTTATTTATCCATCAATTTATATGAAATCATCATAAATTTGGCATAAAATAAAATAAACTAGAATTTAGAATGGAAAAGAAAAGAAAAATTAAAAATTTTAAGAAATTAATTTAAGAATTTACTTGAAAAAATGTGGCCATTGTAATCAGATTAGTACGACCATAAGTTAAACCATAACGTTTTTTTGTATGAAATTTTTCCAACCAATCAGAAAATTGTAAACGATTACGAAAATTTATTTTACGATTCGAATATGAATATTCATAATAA